TTGTAAATCCTGTCAATATTTTACAGCTCTGCAAGGAACTGCTGCGACCAAAACATAAATTTGCATCATTTTACATAAATTAAGCCAAACGACGGGATCAGATGAGAGAGAGAGAGAGAGAGTGAGGAAGAAAGAGTGAGTATGGAGAGGTTCTAGTTTTCCTCACAGGAAGATGCCTGTCTGTCTGTCTTTACTTTCCTGCGTTTGAACCCACGAGAATAGCCGAGAGTTCCAGTAAATGAATACATGCCCAAACAATGTCCTGGATCTTCCATCTGCTCTCTCCTGAGCGTCAGGACACAAACACTGCACAGAGCAAACTAATTCAAGAAGACGCATTTCAGATAGCTGCTCATTTGCACGCTTTTACACGTGTAAAAGTGAAGTGAATATACTCACTGTATTTCATAAACACAGCTGCCATAACTCCTGCTGGAGAACGTGATTCCCGTTTACTTCATTTAGACAGCTTAATTCACTCGATTACAGAGGCAAACAAACTTCAATCCTGCTAATGAGCCTTTTTTCTCCACTTCCTGATCGTTTTGCTTGGCACACTTTCCACAAAGCGCCAGGCCTTTCTTCTGACCCTGACAAATCTATCGAGCACCACACAAATAATTAGTTTCGCCCACTAAACTGCAACGGCTATGGACCAATTAGCTCCCACTGTTACCCACAAGCAAAAAACTACAACTGCTTCAAAGAGAATGTTAAACGCAATAACACCAGCGAGAACACACAACACAGCAGGCACCGCACCAGCATTATTAAATGAAACACACACTCCCAAACAAAAACCGATTCTGGGATTTCTCTTACGGAAAGAAGGGAAACAGTAAAGTGCATCTGTTTAGATTTCAGGTTAAGCAGTCGTAAAACTACAGACATCATCTGTAACTTGCTGTAGATGACCACTGGGGAAAAAAAATCTGATTCTGTTTGCAAAAGCAAACAAAAATGCATTCACATAAAATTCTGTTGTACTTTCACCCCATAGACATCACCTGTACTTCACCTCCAAACACTGTCAACTAAGTCTGACTTGTATTTAACCCACAACATTCCTTTAAATCATTGGAAGAAATAAAAACCTGCAGATCCGAACGGCTTGAGGAGGATCAACACTGTCTCTTCTGAGCAAATATATCCACACATTGACAGAAGTGGAACTTAAATAAAAACATAATATAATCATTGGGAAGATGAATCTTTTAAAATTCTCAAAGAGAAATGCTGCCTTATAATACTCTACATAACAGACCTGGCATTGTATAATACAAATTATTGTTGGCTCTGTTATATGTTCCTCTTTAAAAGCATCTATAAATGCATAGATGTAAATGTAAATAAATCATCAGATTATTGCTTCCGTGAAGGAAAATATTCCAAATTGCATGCATAACTATTTTGCTCATGTCAGTAGGCTTGACATTCTGTTTTCTATTGCATCATATTTGCTGAATAAAATCCAATACGCTACCTACTAATTCCGAGATGCTGATTCCAAAAATAGTGCCTGATTTACTCTTGCACATCACACTTTTTTACAAAATATGATGCATTTTGTAGCATCCACTGAGCCAGATTACAACTATTTGTCTCAACCCGTTTTTACATGTATGGTACTAAATAAATTATTTCCTGTCTAATCCAACATTTTTGACACTTGACTGCTTTTGTTATTTTGAAGTGCATTAAAGCTGACATATAATCTGAAAAAAAAAAATTCATTCTTGTTTTGAGAGAAAAAAAATGATGCATTTTGTAGCATCCACTGAGCCAGATTACAACTATTTGTCCAATTCTCAACCCTTTTTACATGTATGGTACTAAATAAATTATTTCCTGTCTAATCCAACATTTTTGACACTTGACTGCTTTTGTTATTTTGAAGTGCATTAAAGCTGACATATAATCTGAAAAAAAAAACTTCATTCTTGTTTTGAGAGAAAAAAAAAACATGATGCAAGTAAAGTTTTGTATTGCTATTTTGAACTCAGCATCTTCAAATCAGGTAATATTTTTTTGCAAATCAGCATATTTTGCTGTGTTATATGCACAAGTACACAACTTCATTTAAAACCTGATTGAAAGCATGCACTCATTTATGACTAACATGGTTGCAGTTACCAGACTGATTATTAATTAAAGTGATTCATTAAAAGAGCAGATAGTATGTCTGTCACTGAACCACACTCATAATGTTAATGACTCAGTGAATACTACGTGCATATCTCAACAACAACCACGAGAGAGATGTAAAACAGACTGAGACGCACTGCTGCAGAAATACACCGGTTCTGGATTCTATACTTCTGTCTAACCTCGGTTCTATTTCTGGTTCTAATTATGTCTCTGCTGTGAAAGACACCTACGCTCCTGAGGACCGCATGCATGACATTCCTCTCCTCCGCGTGTTCACTTTGCAGATCTACAGGGGTGAGAGTGAACAGCGAGTCCCAATGAGCCTTTCCCCAAACTCCCGTCTCATTCCATGCCTACAACAGCTCGTTCCACTAACCCACATTACGAAGAAACCTACAGATCACCCGGGTTACCAACGCAGCCAATGCGCTCCATCAAAACCCGAGATCCACTGTTTATCACATACAAACGCTTCTATAAAGATGATCAGAACACGTTAGGGAAAACAAACCAATCTCAAGTGCTGGTTGCATGCGAGTATATATGGGTGTATCGAACGCACCGGAGCGCACAGCTCCGTTACGCGCTCCGGCGCACTGAAAAAAACAACATTCCTACACGTGCCACATTGAATACTGCAGTTTGGAATCAAATTAAACAGCCACATCATTCTCTTACCGTAAAGTCCAACACGAACGCAGTTTTTTCAAGCGCACGGATGGTTATGATCCGGTAGTCGGGAGCGCAGAGAGCGCCGGGCGGTTAGTGAAACCTGACCACTGCTGCTGCTGCTGGAGGAGGAGGTGGAAACAGGAGGATTTGTGTTGATCTGCAGATTTACTCCTCTGCTCAGGGGCTCACCCGCTTCTCCGGCGTTTCCCGTGTGCTCAGAGCCGCCTGGCGACCATTTCTGAAATGATACGAACAACTGTGTGTCCAAAGCACAGCCTAAGCCTAATGCTGTTTCTTATTACAGATACGATGTTCTTCCTCCAGGGGGCGCGCAGTGGCCCAAAATGCTGGATTACTTCGTTGAAATCACATGAATGTTTTATTTCATTCAAGATATTTACAAAAAAAAATCTAATATAGCTATAGTTGTAGTTCTGTCGGTCTCTAGGTCTGGATGTAATACTGTCTCCAACATTTGGTTAGGGTTCTAATGCAGTCTCTAGTCCAGTAAAACGCTTTGCGTGTGAGAAAACAAAATGTTATTTATATATTTTTTAATTATTATTTTAGTTCGGCGTTTACCCCTGGTTCTCTTTTAGTTCTGCCTCTAACTTTGTTGACTTTAGTTCAAGTTCTGGGTTGTGTCTCAAGGTCTGCTGAATCTCCAGGTTTTAGCTGTCTGATTCCAGTTTTAGCTCTGCATCTTAGCTTCTAATTTTTATACGAATTTATGCTCGCTTGTTTCTAGTTCTGTCGCTGTTTTGTTTCTACTGTTTCGAAGGATTTGATAAACAAACTGAAAGACGAAACGCCTCATCCAGTCATCACAAACGCCTGTGATTGGTCCATCCTGGTCCGCGCAAAGACAAATAGCGCATACCACGTGATCAGTAGAGCGTTTGCGTTTCTTCAGCTGAGGTCTGAACAATAATTTATACTTGAGAAATTACACTAAAACGTTAATTGAAACTAATTAGTGATGAGTAGAATGAACAGAAATAAAAATAATTATTATTTAAACCCATCACACGCGACCAATTAGGGGCAACTTCCGATAAGCTCCGCCCGATTATTACTCCCACTTTCATGTTATGTACCATTCTACACTTTTACTCTGTTTTTATTAGTTTTACAGCATCTGTTCAGCACAGCAGTTATACAAAAAATAAAAATAAAAAAACCTTTTTGAAAATGCATCATCGTTATAAACAATAACTGAAAATTCTGAAAAATATTTATGTAAAATTATAGCCCAAGTAGAAATAATTAGGTAAAAAGAATAGAATGATTAAAGCTACAAATCAGTTTAATGGTTAATCTAATCTCTGATTCATTTTTAGTCTATACATCAGTATACAACAGTAACATCACAATGCTGTTCTCTCAGATTGAATGAAATAGAAGAGGCGCCATCTGCTGGTTAAAATATAATATTTTATAAATAATTTTTCTATGATTTTATTTTACAGTTTTGTATTGTTCTGGTAGGCTATGTATCTGTAATCCACACACTTTCTGGTCCTATTGTCTCTGTTTGTAAGTGTTTTTATTTGTGGGTGTGTTGTGATATCCACGGTGATACCGTATCACTGTAAATGGACTTTGGACATCTTTTAAAGCATCATAAAAATAAATATAGCATTCAGGAAATACACAACATTTATGTAATATAAACATGCTATCTGACCTATGATGAGTTTTTGATGTCTATGTAACCAATATAGACATTCTTTAACATGTTTAACGTTATCTAATGAGCTAAAAGCAACATATTTTTGATTTAATCAGCTTTTTCCTTTTCTTTTGCATACTTTTTACATTTCTTTTCATCACTGCAAAACTAACAGCCTACTAAACCATCTTTAAATAAATTTTGAAATAAACGTAAAAGGTAATGAAGAATACCTCTTAGATTTATGAACATTACTGCTATTTTCATATTAATTATGACGGTAAGGATAATAAATGTTACGCCCAAGGCCATCATTCATGTGCCCGGGTGATACAATTCTAAGGGCCTGGGAAACAGCTCCTATAACGCCGACCCTGGTTACACCTCAGCAGTAAAGCAGGACTTCTGTCCCGTCAGAGGATGATTTCTTGATCTTCTCTTTCTGAGCAAACCCACCTCACTCTCTTTATGATGTTGTGAGCTCCAATATAAATGCCATGACAACACGAGCAGCTGTCCGTGGCTGTACAGACGATTACTTTATGACTTTATTGCCCTCCTGGTGATGAGTTTCATCAGGAGCTTATCTGAGATCAGTTTCCCCACCCAAGACCAAACCTTTTGCCACTGCAGGGAAACAGCAGGTACTGGTTTCAGATCAGTGACAAAGTACCACCTATACAACACCATTTATGACCCCAGCAGCCACCAACACCTCACCTCCTCTCAAGATCTCCCATTTTCCAGCCACAAAGCGCCAGGAACCAAGGTCTGCTTGACAAGCTTAAAAACCTCAGGACCTAAAAAAAAGGAAAAAAAAAAAAAAAAAGATCACCATTACACAGAAACCATGCCGTCTGCGGAGAAACTAGCGCATTTCTTGTCAAGTTCTGCTTTATGTGCAGCTGGAGTGGTTGTATTGGGTTTCGGGATGTCGACAGATTGGGCCGATGCCGTCTTGGACTGCGCTCCGCCCGGGAGTGTAGTGTTCAATGGAACCTCCAGTCTCAAAACTGGCCTTTTCAATGGCACAGAAACCAAAATCAAATGCCCCAGGATTGACTCACCTGGAAAACCAGTGATCGGTAAGCTTCAAATAAGACTTCAACTCATTTTCTACATGCTAGATTATGCAATTTTACATTATATATGTTTACGTAATTTATTGCCTTTTTAAACATGTTAAAAATAAATTGGATCATTTAAATAAATAAAATAAAATAACAATTAATTAAATAAATAAGCTAAATTATTATTTTTTAAATGAAAATAATTATACTTTAGTGAACCCAAAAATGTATGAACAACTTTACATTAGATAACAAAATATCATACAATTAGCATTTATTTTAATGAATCATTTTATGCAAAAACGTACAAAAAAATATGTTTGTTATGCTGCAAATGATAACCTATACTGTTAACTCTCAGGATAAAAAAGGTACAAAAGCTGTCACTGGGATGATGCCTCTTCCAAAGGTACAAATATGTAACATTAAGGTACTAATATGTATACTTTAGGTACTAAAATGAACCTTTAAGGTACATATATGCACCGTTTAGGGGTCAATAAGGTACAAATACGTACCTTTTGAAAGGGTACCGCATCTGTGACAGCTTTTGTACCTTTTTTTCTGAGAGTGTTCAAAACGAAGACAAACAGTATTGTGCCACATTGTGGTTGAGAAACAAAATATCATACAATTAGCATTTAGTTTAATGAATCATTTTATGCAAAAACGTACAAAAAATATGTTTGTTAGGCTGCAAATGATAACCTATACTGTTAACTCTCAGGATAAAAAAGGTACAAAAGCTGTCACTGGGATGATGCCTCTTCCAAAGGTACAAATATGTAACATTAAGGTACTAATATGTATACTTTAGGTACTAAAATGAACCTTTAAGGTACATATATGCACCGTTTAGGGGTCAATAAGGTACAAATACGTACCTTTTGAAAGGGTACCGCATCTGTGACAGCTTTTGTACCTTTTTTTCTGAGAGTGTTCAAAACGAAGACAAACAGTATTGTGCCACATTGTGGTTGAGAAATGTGAGTGCAAAGTGATTCTCTACATCTGTGTGAGCTATAGGAGAACATTGAGCAAAAATAATGATGAAAAAATTTTGCAGCATCTGAATGCCGATACCGTCTGTTTTGATATTTTGTTATCTAAACACATTCATATATTTTTGAATGTGGCATAAGTGTCCAAATACAGTTTTGGGCTACTGCTTATGATATTAATACCAAGACGCACAATGAAAATAAATAAAAAGCTAGAACTAAGATGACCTTTGGAATCTGCAGGAATTTGAACCGCCATTCCATAAAAATCACATGACCGTTTTATGTCTGGAATACATCAAAGGTTATGACATAACCAAGGTTATGTCAAACGGCATCTTTCATGTAAAAACCCAACGTTTCACACAATGAACTCATAATATACCATATTTTCTCCTTCTCTCTGGCACTTAGTGTTCAACCGTCTGGCGAAATTAGCAGGCGCTCCCATCATCCTGCACGCTCTGGTTGTCATCCTGTTGGCTCTGGCTCTTTTGGGGTCTGCAGGCAGTATTCTGGTCACACTGTACAACAGCTTCAGTAACCCATATCAGACATACATGGGACCAATAGGACTGTACACATGCAGTGGACTCAGTGGTGAGCAAACACTCACTCACACCAAGACATTTGAATCTCAAGCACTGTTTGGCTTGCATTTGACCTCTTCATTTTAATTCTTCATTTAACTGTTTTTAAATGTCTAAAACTTTGGCTAAAGGTTTAAATGAGTGTAAAAGTCATCCCAAGTCCTTTGGGTAAATTTGTGGTCACATTTTTACTCAGCTAAATTTCACGTGCAAAATCCAGTCATTCCAATAGTATTGTATGATAGCACGTTTCCGCCACGGAATATAAAAATTTTAAAAAGATAACTCCAACTTTCTGTTTCACAATTCAAACTGAATTTCCGAATTGCGAGATATAAATTGACTTTCTATATCTCACAATTCTGTGAAATAAAAATGTTTTTTTCTCAGAATAGTTTTTATAGAACTTTTAAATGAATTGCAATACATCAACCCACAATTCTGAGATTAAAAATTCTAAATTATCATTGTAAGTTTATATTTCACAATTCTGAGTTTATATCTTATATCATAACTTCTTCTCAGAATTGCAAAATATAAACTCAGAACTGCAATATATAAAGTGCACTTCTGAAAATAAAAGTCATAATTATGATATATAAACTTCATATTTTGCATGTTAAACTTTTCTCCACAGAAGTGCGAGTTATAAACTCTGAATTTATATCTAGCATACTAAATTCTGAGTTTATATCACAATTCTGAGCATTTGGACTTTTTTTCTCAAAATTGAAAGCTTGTGATTATCTTTCACAATTCTGACTTTATGTCTTTTTTTGAGGAGAAAAATCAGAATTGTGAGATTTAAAAATTTTTCTTTCAATTCCAAGCTTTTATCTTACTGTTCTGAGTATATATCTAGTAATTCTGACTTTATATCTTACAAATCTGAGATCAAAAAAAAAAATTATAATAATTTTTCTTCAGATATACGAGAAAAAAGTCAGAATGGTGAGTTATAAACAGAATTCTGATGACTTTTTTCTTTCAATTCCAAGTTTATATCTCACAATTCTGAATTAATATCTTACATTTCTAAGGAAAATACATATATATTTTTCCTCAAAACTGCAAGAAAAAAAAGAAGTTTTTATCTCGTGGCAGAAACAGGCTTCAATATGATTGTGAGTTTCTCATGAGAGTGAAAACTGCAGATTTCGCTCATGTTCAAGTTGGTCCTCCGAATTCAGTCCATCATACATCTACTCCACTGACTCTAATCTAGTTAAATGGACCTGTTTGTGCGTGGGAAAGTTTGCTAATGTGTCTCATCTCTTGTCCAGTATGTGTGGCCACCCTGGCACTGATTCTGTACGTGTCGAACGCCTACCTGGGCGAGATGTTCCAGACGCTGGTGAAAGCAGATGAAGCCAACGTGGAGTTGAGGAATCCAAATATTACCCTAAAGGCAGGGTTCTTCCTCCTGATACCGTACATCAGCGTCAACTTGCTGGCCATCCTCGTGGTCTATCTGTACGTCCACGCCGCGTACACTCGCCGCAAAGAGCAGGAGAAACCAACGGAGGATGCACCCAAAGAGATCATGATGTACTAAAGCGAAAACACAGCAAAAGTCTGTTTAACAGGCGATGATTTTCAGACTGGAGCTGAACTGAGTCCATTAGTGAGAAACTGCCACATTAACTGTGAAGTGCACAGCAAAACTGAATTTAGCTGAATTCTGTTTGCCACAAAATTGTATTGTATTCATAGGCTATACATACAAAGGCTTAAAAGGTACACTTTAAAAAAGTCATTGCATTAGATAAGAGTGTCTCAGATGCTTTTTGTGTTCATGTTTCGGTAGCTGTTTTGCTTGTGCTGTTTCTTTCAAATGAATGCCGCTTGTTTTGATATTTTATCTAATGCATGTTTTAAGTGTGACTTAAGTGTTCAAATATTTTTATGGGCCTCTAAAAATATTTTATTGCACTTATATTTAAGAACAATACCATCAAAATATTGTAAAAACGTTTCATAAATGTCATTTATGTGTCTAGCTGTTCTACTAAGAACCTAAAAATCATGTGCATGACGTGTTTAAAAACTTCAAATTTACTTATTTCAGTTCCTCTAGACTTTAAGCCAATTTAATACTTTTTTTGTGCATATTTTATTGCAGAGATGTGAAAATATTTAGCTCTTATACTATTTATCTGCTTATGCATCAAATATGAGAAATAATTGTCTCATTTGCTGTTTTTTTTTTAAATAATAAACTGTCAATATATTACAATTCCTCTGTTTCATACATTCCTCAAATATTAGGCCTATGTAAATATTGCTGTAATTTTTAATTGCTGTAAAAAGACCCAGTAAGACCACTAAAATTACCAGCAAAAAAATTATTGCTCACTCACTGATTTATTATGTATTTTAAAACCTGACTAATAAAATCTAATGGCTCACTAAATTACACTGACGGATTATGATATAAGAGATTATATCCTATTATAGGACTGTCAGGTCATGTCACCGTATGACGTCATTTACCACAATCACTGCCTTAGATGAACCTTTGGCCCTTGGACTTTGTGAATATTGAGTATTATTCACTAATAAGACGTGCAGGAGTGTGATCTGGGATTCATCCAGCAGGTTGCAGCAGGAGTGTGTTTATCCAGCTCTCTACTGCCACCATGCAAGAATGAAACTCATGATTTCAGAAAAAAGTTCATTTTGAAAGACTGCATTTTCAATGTACTCAAGTAGCCTTTGTGTGACACAATATTCACTCAGAGTATTCATTATCTCAGAGTATTCACATATTCACAAAGCGTATGGTCACAGTGAGGTACAAGGTTGCTTTCAATCCAATGCAGGGTTATTATAGTTAAATAAAACTAAAACTTAAACAAACAGAAAAAAAAGAAAAATATGTACAATACCGGGCAAAAGTTTGGCATCAGAACGATTTTTAATTTTTTTTTTTTTTTTTTTTTACAGGAGTTTCTTATGCTCATCAAGGCTGCATTTATTTGATCAAAAATACATGAAAAAAATGTATTATTGTGAAATATTATTATTGTGTAAAATAACGTTTTTCTATTTTAATATACATTAAAATATAATTTATTCCTGTGATGCGCAGCTGAATTTTCAACTTCATTACTCCAGTCTTCAGTGTCACATGATCCTTCAGAAATCATTCTAATATGCTGATTTATTATCAGTGCTGGAAATTCCAAAAAATATTTGGCAGCACAACTGTTGCCAACATTGATCATTCTAATAATAAATCAGCATATTAGAATGATTTCTTAAGGATCATGTGACACTTTAGACTGGAGTAATGGCTGATGGAAATTCAGCTTTGCATCACAGAAATAAATTATATTTTAAAGGATATTAAAATAGAAACCATTATTTTATATTGTAATAAAATTTTGCAAGATTACTGGGTTTTTTCTGTATTTTTGATCAAATAATGCATAAGAGCACAAGCGACTTCTTTAAAAAACATTACAAGTCTTACTGATCCCAAACTTTTGACCAGTAGTGTACATGTATATATGTATATGTATATGTATATGTATCCACTTTTCTGCACTTATACTTCAGTGTTGTACTGTTATTCAACTGAAATTTGGTATAATTTCACTATTTGAATTATTTTCTCAATTGAATTAATCACTTCTGCTAAATTAATGAACGTAAACTAAATATGCATAAACGGTAATAAAATCATACGTCCATGTACAGCTATTGATTCTCAGATATGAAGTGAATTTCATATGAATTGAAATTCTGACTAAACTCTCCTCCTCCAAATCATCAGAAATTTAAGCTGACGCTACAGTCAAACTCGACCTCGCTCTGAACTCAACACATACTCACCTGGTCCACGTTAGACTTTTTGACATAAATTATCTCAACTAAAGCTTTAAAAACGAAGCTATCGGCTGTCACCACCATCAACACCAGCTCTGTTCATAACCCTGAACCTCTGAGAGACTCCACGACCGATTTAATGGCTCAAAAACATATTTAACATTGATGTATCAAGGTTACACTAAATAACTTATCCTAATATATAACATATTCAGATGAAATGCAACAAATTTATATGCACTGTACTTTTCCTGCACTGTAAAATGTGGTAACCTGCAATTGTTGCCTATAAAAAGAGCCTTTTTACCTGATTTAACCCATAAAAATAAAATTTGTTGGTATAAATTAATGCATTTAGGTTTAATGTTAACTATTTATGACTTGAGATGTTACCATTTGTAGGTTACTATTTTTTTCAGTAGTCAAATTCTAAATATTTTTATGTTTACATGTCTATTTTGTGGTGTAAACAAAGAGCTAAAGATTGAATAATGTCCATCAGGGTTGTCCATCAGCTTTAACATTTTCAAAAGTCATATAAATGCTTGGACAAAACGTTCTTAAAGTAATGTTTATGGAATGTTCTGATAACTTTATTAATATTTGATATACTTTCTCATAACGTTGAGAGAAAACTATCTGAGATCAACATTCTCTGAATGTCTATATTATCTTGATTAACATATAATCATTGGGATATTAAAAAAACGGAAGGGAAAATAGTAGGTTTTGAAATGACTATTATTCTATGTATATATAAATGTTACAGTATCAGTAAATTAGAAGCTCAGTAACTTTCTGGTCTGATACTTGGCTTTTCAATATATCAAATTAAATGGAATGAAATAGTATTCAAATGATATCGATCACAGCGGGGTGTCAGTTTACCCTCTTTGTGGGGATTATGTGGACGCTCACGCGTGACGTTTCTCAAATGCTGGACTTCAGTGGGAATCTCTCAGAGGCGTTTGGTATGCAAACACAGAGTGAATTACATCAGGAATGGAGGATAATCTCTTCTCCTTTATTCCAGGCCTTTCTCTGGCTCTCTCTGAGTCTCGGTCAGCGGACAGACTCCTGAGTTTGGGTCACTCGGAGGGTGTGAATGGATTAAGGAAAGACCCTCTGTAGTGCTGAAACACAATTCCCCCCTAAACCTGTATCAGAGTGGTGACACACACACACACACACCTGTGTCTGCAGGGCATATACACAAACACACAAACACACACACACACACACACATACTCTAACCACCTATATTAAACTATATAACACCGCAAATTCACACATAAAGTGGCCCCTATCTGAATGCTTAAAATGCCTGAATATTATTACATTAAATAAAAAAGATCAAATTTAAGTGCACTCAAATGCTGCAGGATCTTTTCTGTGCACCAACTTAATTTTTGCTCAGCGTTATTTAATCGGATGGTGTTTTGGTGATTTTTAGTGGATGCAAAGTCATTTCTCCCTTAATTTGGATAGGCATCTCAGAGTAGCAGGTGTAGAGAATCACATTAACTATTAACATAATGCTGCACAAATATTAAGTAACACAATAATTTCACTAATAATTTGGTCTTGAATTTCAACTCCAGATTTATTGTTTTACCATTTAAAAAATATTTCAAGGAAGTTTTTGCAATGTGTTGAGGTCATAGTACGCCTAGCAGAGATGTTTATTAATTTTTAATTTTTTTAAATTATTTGCAATATGTTAATCTATAATGTCATGTATTTCATTTATGTTTTATTTTATTTCTTTACTTACTTATTTTATTTTTTAATTTGATGACTTCTGTTCATAAGTAACTATTTACCGGTAAAATATATGTGCAAAATAGCTGAAACATGTGAAAACACTGTTTAAACATACATATGCATGTGTACAAATTTTGTTTTATTAAATTAAAATTTAAAAAAATGAAAAAAAAAAAAAAAATTTTTAATTAAAAAAAGAAGAAGAAGAATTATTATTATTTTGAAAATTAAATATAATAATAAAATTATTATTATTATTGTTATTATTATATTTAATTTGGAAATATATTTAGTTTGAACTTTCAAATGCCAAATTATGTTTCAAATGTACTTAAAGCAGCAAGAAATTATTTAAAATTAAATTAAAAATAAAAAAATTCCTAATCTAAAATTATTCCTAATCTAAAAAAAAACTTAAAAATTATACATATTTAGCTTTTTTTTTTTTTTTGTAAAAAAACTGAAAATGCAAATAAATAAATAAATACATACCCAATGCTTAGGCTTAATTTATATTTATGATGCTCAAACCTTAGCTAAGGGGTTCTGTTCCTCTGAACATAAAATATGATGACAAGAACATGCTGATGCCAAATCCATATGAATGTTTTGGCCACCGTACACACATTCATAATCCAACATCCTAAACTTTGCACCCTGAGCAAGATTTACACCATGAGAGTGAGAAGTGATCTGAAACAGGGATTCCCATTCACACACCGGGCCTGCGACTGATGCAGCAGAGACAGGCAGGAACCAGCGCTTATCTCTGCCATTAATCTTCATTTGTCAGAGAGGGCAGCGCATGAAGGGGTGGAGAGAAGGAGGGAGCGAGGAGAGAAGAAGAGAAGAGAATAATTACACCCTTGCTGTTCCATTATGGTGTCATTCTTCAGTTAACATCAGATAAGATCACACCTCGAGCTATTTCTCCACTTTAGCCTGCTCTTTCTCTCTCACACACCTGAACAGGCTGACAGAGAGAGCGGCTGTGTTCCTATTCAGCTGTCTACTGTCTACACAGGCAACTGTCTGCTAAAGCAACATCCTAATTAA